TGGGCGCACAACTCCATCTGAATGTGCATGGTGCTATATTCAAGCCACGCCCACTGGTAGTCGCACACGTATTTTGACCGCACGATTGTCAGTATTCCCGATTCTCGGAGCACTTGTTGCCGATCCTTTTGTCGCAACACTATTATATACACTCAGTTCCAAAAGAATTGGACCAGTAGAATTCCATTGGATTCCATTGGAAGTGAATCAAAAGTATTGGCCCAAAAGTTAAATTCATAGCAAATTAACAAAATTAAGGGAAAATTCTTTTGTAGTTGCAAGTAATTGATTGGCATGATTAATAAAAATTACTTTGTAGTAAAGTTTAATTGAATTTTAGATCGATTATTAGAATAATTTTTACATTATTTAGCGTTAGGTCTATGGGAGATGTTGGTCATTGTTTGGTCTCAAAAAACTTAACTCCTAGAAAACTCAGTATTATTATAACATCATGTTATAGTACACACCGAATGTATTAATTTGATATGCTATACATCTCATTTGACTTTTAGACATGGCAGCAATTACGCAACAAAAATAGACAAAAATACCGATTTTTAAAATATGAAAAAATATTAAAGCTTATAGCAAGACCGTCTAGCATAAATTTGAACCCCGTTTTAAAATGAGTTTCAAAAATGTACCATATATTCCCATACTTCTTATAGAGGTTCTGTGAAATCAATTTACTTTTTTTGACCACTTTTGATTTTACGTAATTGTAGTCAAGTCTAATAGTCAAATGGGTCGTGTAGCATATCAAATTAATTCTATCATCGAGTACTACAAAATGGCGTTTTAATAATACTGACTGCTACAGACAAAAAAGTTTTTTTCGGGACATTTTCTAAAACAACTAAAAATCCTATCTCTGATCATTATTTTAAAAAATACTTTAATGCGATTAATAACTGGATAATTAAATTATACAACAGTGAAAAGTTCGAAGATCTAATTCAAGTAGTATCTCTGTACTAATACTAAACGTTTGGTCCAATTCCGTTGGAACGCAGTGTACATTACATAGTAATAAATTATTACTAATAATTGCCTAGTTCAAATTATTGTTTAATTAAATAAGGTTATAAAACTTACATGATAGTCGGCACTTCTTTACAGCATACAGTTGTTTATTATTCCTGTTGCGGACTTTATATACCGATCCGTAACCGCCCGTTCCGATAGTGTCCAGAATATCAAACATGGTCATATTATGTGATTCGCTAATTGCTCTAGCTAAATAGCATATGTAAAATGTAAATTATAGATAAATTGCAATACATAATGGTAAATAATTTTATTTATTCCATTACCATTAAATGGTGACAATTTGACAAGCTGGGTGCTTTTATTAATACACATTGTATTTAATGTACGTTGCCATTTATTAATAAAGTAATCATCGAACGTGGTGAAAATAGTTTCAACAATTATTTTATGGCCAATTTCATATACAATATGACCAGAGTTGGCTGCCTTTATGCCACCCACTTGAACGATCTCGGTGAAAATGGCATTGTTTATAAGTTTCATTTGGCGCACGTGATAATCGTAAAAATAAATATGACCATCACGAGTTAATATAACAATATCGTTATGGTTTGTTGCGCAAATTTGTTGAACATTAAGTACGTTAGCCAATAATCCGGGACATGTAATATCATGGCCAATTTTCTTACTAATAGTATCGTTGCCCCAAATAAACACCCTGTAGTCACCGGTTATGGCCAGCGAACAGCCGTCACAACATATAATATCGGTTATTGTAGTGTTAGTATGGGTGGGAAAGTGGACCTCACGGGGCGATAACGGGACAGCATTAGCCCCGGTATTCCCTCCCCATTCAAACGCCCGGCCATTACAGGTGAGTGCCAGCGCCGAGTACTGATAGCAATGAATTTTGCTTATGGTTAGATTATTTTTGCTAAAAAAGTCAACTTCACCGGGTGGATTGCAATCGACACTGGGAGTATCCCTGGCCAATTGTCCTCGAGTGTTATCACCCCAACCGTACACCCGGTCCCGATCGCGGCTCACGGCCGTCACAAACTCGTGTCCGGCCACAAAATACTGGATCTGTTTCAGTGATAATTCCGGTATCTCTTCGGGTGAGTCGCCGGTGACAGACTTGTTGTGGCCTAACCCGAGCACTCCCTTCCAGTTACGGCCCAAACCGTACACCCGATCCCCGGCCGTCACAAATAGTACATTAGTTTTGGACCAATCGTTGAACGCGTATAAGAAAGTGATGTTTTGTTTAATATTTTGTGGTATTTGTTGACATATTTCTATGCTCTCCAATACTGTAGACATTTTTTGTTTGAGCTTGTTATATCACAAATATGAACATTATCATTTTAGTTATGAACTTAATTTACGAGTACTGTCATTAATTAAAATTAATTTTATTAGTTTAGCATAAAGTATTAATTATATAACATATAAATAAAGTATATTATTTAATACTAATAATAAAAGTATATTTACATTATCATTACATTTAAAAACTTGTTTTAAAAACAGATATGGGTAACTTGGTTACCATAATTAATACGTATTACTTTAAGATAACCTTGATTACATAATTCAAACAATTTGTTATAATGAATAACGCGGATATACCGGCTAAACATTTTGATAAAAATATTAGATACCTTACAAAAGTTAATTATAAATGTTATACAAACACATTCTGTAGCATTATTTCAAAATATAATTAGCTTTATTTAAGTAATTATAATCAAAAGTGTTTAAACTTACATCTCTACACTATGCATCATGATTCATAATACTGTTTACCACGACTAGGCGATTTTAAAGAATCGTGGTCATTTTATTTTATTACCATAGGATCCTGATCGCAAATCTTTTTAACCACAATTTATACATAAACAATGTGATTTATATAATCTCGACGCTACCCTTCCCTTCCCCTAACCATGGTCAAATGTACTACTATAGGATCTATATTACGCTCCCATATAGACTTGTTTAAAAAACACGTGATTATGAAATTATTCATTGAATAGTAAAATTGTATAATTGTAATTGTATATCTATTAATGAACCATGGTAAAATATATGCATGCCATACATTTCTATATTATTAGCTGCCATAAAATATAAATAATAATATTGAGATATTGTTACAAATTACTGAATTAATCATAAATATAATGTTATTAGAAAATAATCTTCGTTATGAGAAAAAATTTAAACATTTGTTTAAAAATAATATTCAATAAATAGTTGTGTTGATTGTATTATTGCTATTATCTGTTATTACATTATATCTTAACATTATTGTCACCACTGATTATCACGCCATTTGGTCCCAAAATATAAATGACATATATTTTATACCAATACTCGCATTACTATTATCCGTACGTTCAGTATTAGGGTATGAGACCAACAGTACGATCGGTACGAAGTGGATTGGTTACGACACACGTATGTTTGTGTTCTGTATATTGACTGACTTTAGGGCCACAGTTACAGTCAAACCTCTTAACACCAAATTCATTGGCCACACATTCGCCGACATTACTCCAGACACGTCCCGATCGCAGTTCACTGTTTGCCAGCACTCGGAGTCCATTCCCATCTCTCATGTCTACAAATTCAATGCCAACAAAACCGGCCATCAAATGAGTCTATCCTTTGGGTTTGGCATACAGTCGGATCAGTCGGTTATGGTTTTTGTCAAATACTTTGAAGTGCTGTGCAATAAAAGCAGGGATTGTCTGCAGGACTACTGCCGGACCAAATACTTTCATGAATTGAAGGCCAGTAACTGTTTGCGCACAACTGAGTCCTACCGGTTGGCCAGTATTGACACTGGTTTTAGCCGCCAGTGCTTTTATAACAAAAAAATCTAGTATTAAAGACGGGGTATATGTGAGCGAAGTGCCAGTATTTTAATCTATTTTTGACATAAATTTGCATTATTATCACATCGATGTGACCAATACCACCGATATATTTAACTCCGTTCAGTATTGTAACGCCGATCGGGTTTTAGAGACTAGTTTTGCGGATAATCTAACTTTTTATAAAAGTTTTTTAATCATTTTATTTGTAACGAAAATATTGTTTTATAATTTGTTTGATTGACAAAATTGTAAGGTATTATGTTAAACAATTTTATACATTAAAATAAAATTATATAATAAAATAGCCAACAAAAAAAATCTAATCAATACATTCGTGTGCAATGATTTTTTTAGAACCCAGTTGTAGGTTTCACATACACTGTACACATACATACTTTACACACATATTCGGGGGACAGTCTGCCCCTATGTATACATTCTTACTATCTGGCGTACGATGTGTTCAAACAGTTGGTCGACTGTGTCGAGTATCTACACGGGTGTCACGTGTGGCACCGGGATCTTAAGCCGGATAACGTGCTAATCGCCATGGATTATACCTACAAGAAACGTTATATTAAGCTTGGTGATTTTGGTTTGGCCAAGTATGTACCGCCGGGTTTGAATGTAGTGAACAGGGATGCGAGTGCGATGTCTGCCTATGTTAAACATACGGATGATTTGGGTAATGTCCGCAATCAGGCGCCCGAAGTACAGACCGGCTGTTATAATCATTTGGTAGATGTGTATAGTCTGGCACTTATAGGCGCAGCACTGTTTGGTTTGGATAGGGATGGCGTTATTGATGGGAAGTTAGTATATAAAATTTAAGTAAATTGATCTAGCGTTTTTTTAAATCCACTGATACTCCATTTTCCATAGGCCTGATCCGGAAATTAACTACACTAATAAATATATGCATAATTGGCTGATCGAGATAAATAAACTGTTTATATCGATGACAATCAGCTCGTATTCAGTGTATGGACTCCATGATTGGCGGCAGAGACCGGAATGTGCAGACATTTCCCGAAAACTAGACGCTCTACCGATACGACCGGCAATTAATCGCAATAATCGCACAGTATTTGAAACGGTTATAAAGAGCAAACATAAGATGCTTTATCGGACATATATGGCTCGTAAACCCTATTGCATTATCGCACGATCTGAGCATGGTAAATTTTATATCTAATTATAATTATATAACTTAATAAGTAATTTAATCGCATAACTAGATAAAACGGCCATAAAGCATCTGAATGAAGTCAGGTTCAAGCAAATTGATTGCCTTGGTGAATATGGCGATGGTAAACTGTACACGGCCAAACACACAATTAATAAGCAACAGTTTACCATAATAAAAATACATGTTCCAGGTATGAATTGGCGCAGATTGATCAGTTTATTAAAAAAATATTATATACTAGAATTTGCAAAAAAAAAATTAATGCCTAATACAAAAAATTGTTTAATTATTTTTATTTTAATAGTTAATGTCAGATTATTTAGTGAACTGGTTGCACAAATAAGAGAGATCATTCAGTATAAATCACCCTGGTGCTCTGTAACGTATTACAACGCGTGGCTTGAAAATGATCACGTGTTTATTCAGGCCAAGCACTGTCCGCAAACGCTGGGCGCTATAATACGGGCTAAACGGACAGTGTTTACCAGTCAAGCGGATAAATGTCGACCGGAAATACTAGCCATTGATTACATGCTATCGCGTGAACTGTTGAGACAAACGATCGCTTGTACGCCATATGTGCTGACGTCGGCCGTCAAGAATAGGTTCGCATACATAAGCGCTGACTGTCTGTTAGTGGCCAACCCTATGGACACCTTTAGGCAACGCGTTAAATTGTGTCATGCTGATTTACACCATGGTAGACTTGCAACTTTTCGTATTTTTCAATTCCCTTCCCTTCCCTCTTCCCTTCAATCATGAAAAGAGGGAATCCCTTTCCCTTCATCTGCAGGGAAGAGGGAATCCCTTTCCCTTCATTTCCCTTCATTGCCTTTTTCCCTTCAGATTCCCTTCAAATACTATACATTTCGTTTATAATACACTGGTTTACTGTATACAGCAAAATATATTGCTTTATAGACAATAATATACATT